TTCAAGCTGCAGCCATCTATACAAAACCTTTCAACTCTCTCCTTTTACTAACTCCCAATAAAAATGTTTTGTGGCTCAGAGAATTTTGTACAGGCTGGAAGTTGAAATATATTTTTATTGATTCAGGCCCACAGTAGAAGAGGAAAAAAAATTATCAGATTAGAAATTACGTCTTTAGATTACCACTTAAGAAGAGAAAAAACCAAAACAGTGTAATACAGGAGGGGAATTATAATTTGTACACATGAAACAGGAAGCTTAATATCCTTACACTGGAAAAGAACAGTCTGCTATCAGATGTGGAGTAGGTGTACAGAAGTACCTACCATAAAGCAAATCTGTTCAAAGTAATAACAATAGCAAGATAATTGCTGAGATTAATTTAATGTAAAAGTAATGTAATAAACATGTAAGGTGCTTTGAAACTACTTTTTTTAATTGACAAAGCAATACCTATAGATACATACTAATATATGAAGGAGCATTCTTATCATGTGCTACGTCAGTGATTTCCAAAAGTACTTCTTGTTCTCATTTTATCTTTAAAGATGCAGCTCCTGAAATAAGTAACAGATATTGTAGTTACTTGTTTCATCACCTGTAGATTACAGACTCAGTAGTCGAAGTTATAGAAGAATTGTTAGGAGCTTTAAAAGCAGCTTCAAAACATAAGATACTGAAGAATAATTACCAAAAAAAACCTGAAAATTGAAAACTGAGAATTGCTTTTCCAAGTTTATATGAAAAATAATTGAAATATCATTATATATGGTACATAGCTACTACAGACATAAAAATACAGAGCACAATGTATATCACACACTTTACTCAAAAATTACAGCACTGCTTTTCTGATTAATCACAATTAATTACAATTATCTACTGTTTCAACTTTAGACAACTTTTGAAGCACATTAGCCAAGAAAGATCTGCAGTACAGAGAGATATGCAGATCAAAGTCAACTATGATGAGCCACCTAGTTTTGGAAGGATTTCAAGATGTTATCTAGATAAGCCTGAAATGTCAGTACACCTGTCTGAACCTACACCAAATTCTTTCTTCTGGCTACATCATTTGTAACGTAGGCAGATTTTAATTCTCTGGACAATTCATGAAGCTCTTCATCTGCTGTTATTACACATTTCTCATTTTGTCACACCTTCAAAGATCCTAAATTTATTTTAATAAACATCAGAACACCTTTTGTGAGGCGACCAGTCTTCTATAAATTTGGGAGCTTTCCGTAAATTGACCCTAATGAAAGACAGAGGATAGATCAGCAATTGTGGATAATATTTATGAGTCTTGTAATAAAATGGACAGACTATCAACGAAGAGGTGATCCTCACTTCTTCAATTTATGCTCCCTTAAAAAAATGGGGAATATTATTTCTTTTTGTTTTTTTATTTTCCTTCTGAATATTATCTGTAAATCTCAGCTTAGTTCCCAAATACATCTTTAAAGCAAATCCATTCTAAGTGATGATTCAATGTTCTTTGCATGTGTTTTCAGATTGGGCCAGTGGTATACTACAGTTTCAAGAGTTCCTTAACATGGCCTCCTACAAAAATATACAGTCCTGAAATATCATGAGAAATCCCAAAATACAGTTTTATATCAATAATATTTGCATCCATAAACAATGCATGCAGAACCAGACCCTTCAGGATCCAAGATTTCCACCTTTAAATGTACACTTCTGTACTATGCAGCACATTTCAGAAAAAGGAAAATTTTCAAGTAAAATGCATTAAATCATAGCATTGTGTATCCTAGATATACTTAATAATTGCAGGTCTCTTTACTTAAAGAGCATTAAATAGCACATAATTATTTGTGTGATCACTTATACTTTTTTGTAGGCAGGAAGGAAACTTAGTTATTATACTCAGATTATTAAATCAATCATAAAGCTTAAAAAGAAGTTGTTACAAAAAAAAAAAAGAGAGAGAGAGAAGGGGGAGGAAGTACTTAACAATCTGCTAGTTTTATATTTTTCTGCTTAGAGCTGGATCCTAACAGGAAATTCAAACTTCTCAAACAAAGAATCATCTTTAAGGCCACAAAGATGATGATTATTGGATTGGAACACCTGACATATCATGAGAGGCTGAGAGAGCTGGGACTGTTCAGCCTGGAAAAGACTTGGGGGCATCTTACTAATGTGTGTGAAAACCTGATGAGGACACAGTAAAGAAGATGGAGTCAGACTCTTCTCAGTGTTGCCCAACAAACACAAATTGGAACACAGGAAATTCCACTGAAAAGTAAAAACACTCCAACATTATTTTAAGAGTAGTCAAACATTAGAACAAATTGCAAAGAGACATCATGGTGTCTCTATCCTCAAAGATACTCAAAGAATCTCAAGTGAACAACAGCCCTGAACAACCTGCTCTGTGTGATCTTATTTCAACTAGGGGAGGCTGGACTAAGTGGCCTCCACTGGTGCCTGACAGTCTCAACTATACTGTGGTTTTATGAATATACAGCAAAAATATGTTGCAAAATGTTCACAAGCAGCAAGAATTTTCCCGTATCAACTAATGTGGTAGCACATAACAATGGTATCTATGTCATCTATTGAAGTTATAGCAGTTTTTTCTTGGCAGGGCTCTGACAGTAGTCTTGGTACTTATTTACTACATAAATGTACAAATGTTCATTGCTTTGAACTCACAAGATCAGATTGTAAGTCTATTTTTAGACTTGCCTGTCTGTAGCATGCTGGAATGACTGTCATGTAGCACTGCTGTCATGATGCTCCTTACCTTTGCTGAACCTTTGCATACCCCATGGAACACTAGATTCCAGAGTTTGCTTCTATCAGTGTTATTGTTTGCATTTTTTGTGCTGTTTGAGACTCAACACCACCACAATGGGAAAAAAATCATATCACCACTTCTGTTGTGGTAAGCCATGTAATGTGAAAACAGATCAAACTTAATAGCAACTGCATTTAAACCTTTCCTCTTTTGCAAGAGACTCACAAAGCATTAGCATCCTAAAAGGATTTGATGAATGATAATCCTATATACGCCTATTTTCTTTAATTTTGAATTATTTTCTCCTGGTTTTTTTTTAGTCATAATTTAAAAAGATCTGCATCTGTTTTTCTGGGCTGTAACTCTAAGAAACTGGATCTGTGTTTTTAGTACCATATATTTTTATCGTTAACTTGTTATGACCAGCTTTAAAGGACTAGAGAGGAATTGGATACTTTAGCCTTAGTTGTGGTTTTAAACTGCTTTCTTAGAATAAAAAGTCAAGAGGAGATCTGCTCTTAGATATTAACTGTAACACAAAACTCCTAATGATACTGTTGACAAGGTTTCTTTTCCTGTCTCCCTCTTTTTGGTCTGCATATTTGTCTCTGACTTCTTTCATCTCCTTTCTACTTTTCGGATTCATTTTCTTCTTTGATATTTTCCTGCCTTACTTTCCCCAAATAATTTCTCTTTGCTTCTAAAATTTTTGATCTCTCCTTCATAAACAGGAATGCTTCTGCCCTACAAAAACTTTCATTCTTTCTCCACATAGAACCCATCTATTATTGTCATGTTGCATTTACTCTGCACCATCTCTATTTCCTGTACTAGATTTTATCCTGTAAATTCTATCATGTAAAGTATTTTAATCATGATTCTTTTTTTTTGGTCACAGCTGCCCAGACTACTACTGTGAGTCCTGCTTGCCTGATACTTTCCCATGGTTGCCTACATTCTCACTCTTGTCCTTCCTTCCCTCTCCTTATTTCATACCTATCTCCTACCAATCTTTGTTATCTGACTTCATTTCATCACTCCTCTTAATCTTTAGTCTTTTAAAAAACTGTAAATTTCTAATAAAATATTTCTGGCAATGTGTCTATCTCACCATGCAAAGCAGCTCTTGAACCTAAGGCTAGGAGGCACAGACCCACTTTTGTCCACTGAGCTAAACTTTCTTCACTTTCCTCCTTCCACCAGACAAAGCATTTAAATCTAAATTGCCAACAGTTTCTGGTATGTGGTGTTTCTGAATTGCCTTTTTTTTTTGAGAATGTTAGTCATCTATGGTCAAAACCATGCCAAGTATCATGCTCATACTTAAACAGACATGTGAACATGGGCATATACTGAAACATCCACCCATCTATCCAGTCCCCAAGATCAAGTAATCCTCCTCTCTATTTGGATCTGTCTGGTTAATTATCTTTCCTTTGTCTTAGAGAAAATCAGTGCTAGAGACTGAGTCATGCAAATCAGCAGGAAACAACTGGGAAAGAAGTGGAAGCTTTGCTGAAGTAACTGCCAGAGTTTAACTGATCTGTAACATGAAGAGAGAGACTGCAGCACCACCAACAGCTTGAATGTTGGGTGCCTCCATCTTCAGGTGACTGTTCATCTCCTCCCTGCAACACAGCCTTTCTTACTTAGCCATGTGGAAGAGTAAGTCTCCTCTAGGAGATGTTACAGTAACTTTCAAAAGAAAATATAGTTTGAGAAACAGATTGTTACAGGACTTTAGGTTAGTATGAGGCCTCAGGAGACATATCAAAAATAGAACTTCTGGATGAAAAATTAAGAAAGACGTGTGTGCAGCATGGAGTTATTTTAACTAACTCGCTTTCTTCAGGCAACTATATTCATGATGACATTAGCTAATGAAGCAAAGCAGCAAAAGAAACCACAAGATATCTGAATTATCAAAAATGAATAGGGAGATTATTGTCTAATGATAGGTAATTCATGCTTTGAAAGGTTTTCGTTTATAAAGAAAAAAACGGGAAAAAATTATAATGGATTATTATTTGTTCAGTTCTTTGTATTTTAAAGTACCGAGCTGCCACAACTTCCATTACATACAACATGTTTATGTAGCAATAATGTGACATTAGGGGAACTCTTTTGTGATATTTGAGTGCTGGTTTCCTAAACTGTTAATCTATTAACAAGTGAATATAAGGCATGAATTCAAACAATTGCCCGTGTGAAGACGTAGAAACAATGATCCTACCTGTTGGCGGGATGATTCCAGGAGACATTAGGCCTGGGACAGAATGTGGCATGATATGAGAATTCTCTGGGGAGGTGACACTTTGAGTCCTCTTAGGAGGCCTTCCAGGTCTAGAACTGAAACAAACAAACAAAAAAATTTTTACAATTAAGCTGTTGTCTTACACATCATTTCAAAGTTGTTTCAAGTGGTAACATGGACTGTAAATAAATTTGTTTCAAGGACGGTTGCTTTTGCAGTTAGATGTAATAGACTTCCATCACTAATTAGATTACATGCTGAATTCATTTTCCTCATTGAAGATCAGCCGCTCTTGATGCATAATTCATAGCCTGCACCTCGTTACCTGCTTCTTCATATTAATATCTATACACAGTTTGAATTGCCTCGTTTGCATATGCTAAAGTTCTGCATGCAGCCTTCAGCACGAAAATTATGCACTAACTTGTAATAATTATTACAGTCAGCCTGCTATTGATTTATGAGACTTTTAAAAACCAAATATGTGTAGTACTTGTAATGAATGATATTTTAAGGTTCTTCAGGAAATTAAAAGGCAATGGCTGCCTAAGGAAATGTTCTGCTTGTTTGATTTAATACTACAGTTAGCTGGGAGGTGGAATGAAAGAGTGATTCAGACCTATAGCACATTTTTCGATGATATGTTTTATTACTTCGCACTGCTAGCCTGATATCTAGATGATAAATGACAATACATAACTAATGTGTGAAAAGGTCTTGCAATTTCTTTATTTTTTGTCATTTAAAAGATAAGTCAAGTTATCATTTAACCCTTATTCTATTTAAAGTGAAAATCTCACTAAGACACCTTACTTTAAATATACTACTTTATGTCAGAAAGGACTCGGAATTATTTTAAAAGATATTGTTGAGCAACCGCCATCATAGCAGCTTACATCTGCTTATATTTCCAGTATGGAAAAATAAAGGGCTTCAGGTTTAAGCACTCCTTGCTGTTAAACGCTCACATACACAACTTTCCATCTCCTGGACTGCATAAGAAGCATACAAATTAGATACAGATTACAATGAAAATACTTATTACCCACTTACATGCAAATATGTACCTGCTACATACAATGCATATCCAAAGGCTCGTATTCTTATGTACAGATCATAGTGTAGTACTACTGCAATATCCTGTAACTGCTTATTTAGGGGACATTGTGGAATAATTTCACAGAATAAGGTGATGTGCCATTCTAAAACTGCAGTGTTAACCTATGTTCTGCCAAACATTTGAAGTTCTTCATTTGTTTCAAAGCAGGAAAGAAAAGAAAGGTGGGTATGAAAGGTTTTGCTCCTTAGGTCTTCACACTAACAAAACTCTAATCAAGGATAACGGCATTTTTAGTTATGCTGGGACTGCAGAATGAGGCAGATAATGAAATACCTCTGTTTTCTGTTCGTATTTGTTCCACTTGTGTTCAGAAATACCTTCTTTTTTTTTTCACCTTCTACAACCTAACTTTAATAAACCAAAACCAATCAAAGTACAGAGCATTTTCTTGAAGTTTAATGACTCAAGGCATTGAGTCATTAACCTTAACTGATCATTAATTCCCTACTTAATGTCCTGAGCTGAGGTCATTATTAAAATTATAAGCTTGGTAATTTCTTTGATTGGTTTGGGATTTTTGATTTTCTTTAATACAAACAAAATTATCATATGTTCAAAAGTACAAGAAAGATAGTTGTAGAAAGAGAATGTTGTCTTATTCCAGCTCACAAAACCAAATTATCTTCTGTTACTCTTTGAAATTTCATTTGTGATTTACAATAAAAATAAACATGCCATGAGTACACATAAAACTGAAAAAAAAATTATAGACAAAAATGATCTGATTTAAATGGAATGTTTCTAATATATTCACCCATCAAAACATGCCACTACGTAAAAAAACTTTGATGGTTTAATTTAAGTACCTATGGTGAAGTACTTTTCTCAAATCACTGCAGTGATCTGAGTATTGAAGGGTCTGACAACAACATAACAAAACACAAGCAGGGTGCCATGGCACAAAGCACTATGCACCAATAGCTTCTGGATCTTTAAAAAAAAAGTTCACACCTGCAAAGACTCTCCCAAGTATAGCCATGGTGAAGCCTGAATGCTTTTGTCTTTGATTTTGAGGAATAAAACCACCCCTCTTCAAAGCCCAAGAGAAGATAGTCATGGACCAAATCTGTAAATAAAGGTCGGTAGCAAATTATACGTGACTGCTACTGAAATATCCAAGGCAGAACTCTTCCTTTGGTCACCTTCTTCAATCAAGTTAATCGTGCTAGTCTATACAAAAGGGCTGTCACACTCAAATCCATAAGTGAGCCCAGTAACCCAACCCTATTCCATTACTTATCCCAAACTTTACCAAATAAGTGTTTTCATAAAGTCCTAAACTCCCAATTTCAATCCTAGTAACAATGTTTCACTTAGTGGATGGTTGGGCACTAGAACAGGCTTCCCAGGGAAGTGGTCACAGCACCAAGTCTGACAGAGCTGAAGAAGCATCAGGACAACACTCCCAGGCACAGGGTGTGACTCTTGGGGATAGTCCTGTACATGAACTCCATGATCCTTGTGAGGCCCTTCCAACTCAGGATGCTCTATGATTCCATTTAAATGAAACTTCTGCCTCTTTAATCCTGATACAATTTTAAAGTGACACTAACTCCAGTCTACTATAAAAAGGCCTTTAACTATTTAAGAAATGTTTGATCCTTATGACAAGGCAGAAAAACACAGTAAGACACATTAAGAATTATTTCTTAAGGCCTAGAAGATCTGATTTACAGTCACGGTAGACTATGCAATACAGAAGTAAAATTAATAAATCTAACTGTCATCAATAACTGATTAAATCACAATACTTGACTTTACTATTTATATTATGCATTTCTTTCATTAACCAAACTACTAACTTGCAATACTGCCATTTTATAAGATTTATTTTCAAACCATAAGAATTGCAAGAATTTCATATGAATCATTACCAAAGTTGTGGGGAAAATGACATGAAAAATTACTTTAAAAAATAATAACTGATTTGAATTGAAAACTCGCATGTTTTGTAGTTCATTATAATTTTTATAGCTATACAATAAACTCTTTAAAAAAAAACAACAAAAGCATAGCAACTTATTTTAACTATCATAAACAGGATGATAAAAACAGCTTAATGAATCATTTTGTTGGTATTTTTCATAAACTTGTGTATAGTAAAGACCTACTTATTTTTAGATTAGGAAAAGTTTGTTTTCCTTCCAAGATAAAAACCTGCTTCAAAATACTCATAATTCTATATTGTATCAAAATCAGTAGATTTGTCTTCAGTATGAAAACAAAATATAATTTAAATAGGTATGATTTCGTTCATTATGTAGATCTCTTTAAATGCCAGAGCAAAGTAAGTTATTCTTCTAGTTGATGACCCTGAGATACAAAAATCATCATTTAAAAACTGAGAGAGATGATAATACTCTTTTACTCAAATTTAGATTTTGTATATAAGCTTTTATAGAGATAAAAAAGATACTGTAAGATTTTGTCTTTTATCTGAATAAAATTATTGGAAGAACAACACTGGTTCTTCTGAAGGCACATTTGACTTCTTACATAAATGCTAATTATCTCAGTGGGTAAACTACTCAAAAATGACCTATTTTGATTTTGAAGATGTCTAAAGTCTGGATTTTTTTAGAGCTACAATAAACAGTCTGAAATGTGAAAACCCCAAAAGCCAACACAAGTCTTATGAATACCTAAGGTCATAGCACAGAAAAGTCAAAGAGTCTTTTGGGACTCTACAAGTAGATGCTAGAAGAAACAGCCCTACATCTGGAAGTCATAGCTGGTCTTCCTGACTACTGTTTCATTCTTTGAAGAGTAACTAGAGAAAGCAGAAATTAGACAATTTCAACAAGGATTCAAGGAAGCCACAATGATTAACCGTTTAAGACCATTAAAGACCTGGAGAGAAGTCATAGAGAAGTTAACAGTTCCTTGCTTACCCATTAGGTAAGATATCCAATAGATACACTGTCACTCTGCTTTTAGAAATATGAGTAAGTTAGATATTTTCCTCTCTAAAACCTAAGTTTTCATATATGTTGAAAAAGAAAATGAAAGCTTTCTACAGGATAACATATTACTAAATTAGTAGTTATTTTTAAAGTGAAACACCTAAATGTATTTAGTTCCATGAAAAGCCATCTACCTTCTATATGGTTGTGTAAGTTTGTGTCAAAAATTTCAGACTTTTTTGAAGTCTTAGAATACATTCCCACAGACAATTGAGTTTTATTTTTGTAGACAATTATCACGATTTACAATTACAATATACCATTATGTGGATGGGGAACTAAAGGTACAGACTGGTAAATCTCGAAAGTCTCAGATATTTTCTTCATTAGCATCAGCTAATTAGATATCCAGAACACTTTCCAGAATGCCTGAAAATAAATTCAACATTTTTTGCCAGATTTGTATTTCATCCCTTCAATTTCACAAATACATCAAGGAATATTATGGCTGTAGCATTTTCATCTTGGAAGGACAGGGGTGTATATGTCTACTGCACTGTGATTGGCAGCATGGACAGCACAAAAGATGAGAAGCAATTGACAGTATATTGTCACAAAATATGGGGGTTTTTTGTCTTTTGATCAACATATATTAGTCTTATATCCTTCCTATGTTACCACATCTAGACAACAACAGATGGTTGAATTAAAGAATAGAAAATGGAAGAATCAGTGTTTCTTATCAGTTAAACTGCTGTGTTTTGATAATATTTTTAAAGTTTTATATAATTCCAATCGCATTATCAAGTACGAACTCACTCTTAGAAATCACTTTGATAGTGCAAAACAATTAAAAGAAGACTTAATCAACAGAAAATCTGTCCTGCACAATCACACAGAAAGACAACAAAGGGAGCATAGGTATGGGCTTATCTGCTGGCTTTAAAAGTAACCAGATTGCATTCAGCTCTTTTCACTATCTGCCAGAAGACAGACGTGACTTTAAAATTTACAGGTCTCATCCTTGAAAGCCTTAGATATGCAGACCTCCCACTGATTTCTGCTAGGAGTT